TAGCCGTCCCTAATTTAGCAGGGTAAGGCTAGAGGGAAGGCAGCTAGTCATCACCACCCACCCCCAACTCTTGGGTTACTCTTATAGTGGGATTGACCGTCACGTTATAACGCCCCCACGGCTGAAACGGCGAACATGTTTGGTGGGACGGGGATTCGAACCCGTGACCCTCAGATTGCGAGTCGAGCACCTTATCCACCTGGCCATGCCGGGCTACTGCATTGTTCTTCTAATATAATACATGTAGCAGATCAATATACGCTGTATTGTACCAGAGCTACAAATATTCACCAGTCTTGGTTTATTGTGACGCTCACACGCATTAGTAAACATTTCACAATTTGGTCAAATCAGTAGTTTTCTATAATCAATTTTGATTGGTTTATCGGCTGGATTCAGGTCAAATTCAGTATGACAGTGATCTAGGAAATACACAAGATCGAACCATCTTGCTTCATTGAATAAATATTTTTCGAGTAGAGCAGAATCCCAGACCCCATAGAAGGTGACCATCTTGGCGCTTTCAACCCTTTACCACACACTACAATTATACTTTTTTAAAAGTCTAACTCAAACAGATTCATAAACTTTCACAGCCTGTTATTTACATAGTTAAGACACTATGCAGTTTAACTATTACCTATGCATATTTTGTATGTATCATTTACATATAGCCTAATACAAAATTAATTCACCAGAACCAAAACATTATTCTCAGCGAAGTAACTAACTTTAACAAAAAAGAAACAGAAAATGTGATATCACATTGAGAAGCAGGTGCAAAATTAAACATTGGTGGAAAGTCTATGATAGTATTAATTACAGTGGACCTACCACATTATTTGTACGCCACCTTTAGACCGGCTTGAGGCTCTACGACAACAGCAGTCCTATTCTCGGCTAGAAAATTGAGATACGTGTAATTACTGGAACTGTGGTAAATAGAAATCAAGGTTCAGAACCAGAAAGCTAGCCACTGCCTATACCTAATATGCGTTGTGGAATTTCAGATTCAGGCTGTGATTAACTTCTTCTTTCTGCTTCTTACTACCATAGGTAATGATAATCTTTTACCCAATCATTAATTCTAAAAAACTCTATAACCATCATAGCTTCAAAACTCATCTTCGGATGTAGTGTATCTAATGTAACTGAAGCAGCGACAGTAATGGCTTGTACTTTATGCACATGCGCACCCACCCACTGAGAGACCGAAACGGATAGAAGAGAAGATACAAAATGAAAAAAACAAAAAACTGATAAGACACGAATAACAGATTCTAAATACAATACGAAAAACAAGTATTGAAATAACAGTAACAGAATTTAAAGTTATGTCGACCTATAGCTACGATAAATAACGCACAATTTTACAAGTAACGAAGACCTGTTATGCGTGCATATACTCTTAAGGTACAACACATTATCGTCTCGATCCGCTCTTGCAGGTCCTCAATAGCCGCGGCACTTGAAAATCGTTTAGGAAGGATTAAGTAGAGTAATCGATGATACCTTTTTTCCCCATTTTATTGGCTATATATTTGTGCGCCAAGCGTGGGGCGCACGTATACCCGATTCGACTTTATTACTAATCAGGATCTCTACCAGCCTACCGTCAAATTGAAATTCTTTTAGGCAGAATTATATTAAATTAATCTATGAGACCTTGGGAGCGGTCAATACACCAATCGAAAGTGTTTGACATCCCGAGTCCAAAACTGTAATTAGATCTTAAATCGGTCAAGTGATGACTGAGTTATGAGCTAAAAGTTTGTACTTGAAAAAAACGAAAAATACTCAGACATTCTATGAGCCGCTATGCCGCGGCTAAAAACACAGGGACAGTTTACATGATAGTTAAATGTTTATTGAAAAAAAAATCAGAAGATACTGGACTTTTACGATTTTTTAGAATGTTAGCGTGGTTGTTTCGCATCACTCCACACAGGTACGCCCCGATATTTTTTTTTTGCACGCTTGTTACACCAAGGGCTCGAATATTCA